AACAACAACGACATGTTCCTTAGAAAGGAGGTTGGCGAGACTACCTTTAACATACTTTGGACATGTTTCAGGAGGGACCGGAACCTGGAGAACGGCATCATGCTTGGCAGTGTCAGTGAAAAAGAGGAAGAGTCCCAACAAGATGGGTTGAAACTGTGGCGGCAACAATGGACTCACACATAACAGTGATCTAAGGATGTCACAGGTCCATGCAGCATATAGCTCTGTTGTACAGCAGGGTCGCTATGAATCAGAACCAATTTGACAGCACCTAACAACAGCTGGGAGAAAAAAAAAAATCTCTCCCAGGTAGCAGGTGCCAAGATTAAGACCTCTTGAAAGCAACTTGGGGTCAAGGTAGAATTGACCATTCCTGCACGACTTCCTCTCCTGTACATAGCAGGATTTCTATCATAACAACTTTAATGGTTTACACGTTTGTCTATTTCACTTTTGAAGACTGACCCCTAGCATTATGCTAGGCACTAAGCATTAAGACACCAGGCATTAAATACATATTAAGTGAATATATGAATGAATTAATTTCGGGCTAGAATATTTAGCTCAAAGCCCTCCTCTTTCAAACCAAATGGTTAGGAGGGAAGGAGACTCACACGGCGAAGGAGCCCTGTACCTCTTAAAAACCAAAATCAAACTCACTGCCATGGAGTGGATTTCCACTCATAGCGACCCCCTTTGTGTTTCGGACGCGGTAAACCTTCACAAAAGTAGCCCACTCTTCCTTCCCGCAGAGTGGCTGGTCAGTTTGAACCGCTAACCTTCCGGTTAGAGGCCAAATGCCTTAGGCACTACACCACCAGAGCTGCTCATACCGCTTAAATTTTTTTTCCCCCAATTACTGTAAATGAAGAGAAGTCTTTATGAACAAAAATATTCACAGTATTCTAGCAGTCTGTGGCACAGCCTTGATACAGGGACTGCCCTAAACAGCCTCTCAGACTATCTATCTGAGTAACTGGGGGACCCATAGTTCCAATTGCCCGGCCTAAACCTCTTAACGCAGATCCTACTCTGGTCCCGAGAGCCAGCCGCGCAGGCGTAGACGAGGAGGGTGCGCGCCTTCCTTAGGCTCTTCCAGCCTCTAGGGGGCGCTGGCGGCGCCGCTGCCGCCTCAACTGCCGCGCCTGTCTCCGAGCGCGGCGCGGGCGGTGCCCGCCGCCTCATGGGCCACGGGTCCGCCTCCGCCGCGCCGAGGGCGTGAGCTCCGGGCTCCCGGAAGCGGCGGCTACGCCGCGGAGCCGAGAGGGCTTCGGTACCCGGAGCAGCAATGCGCGGCGTCCAGAGGCTGTGATCTGTGCACAGCGGCCCTGTAGGGGCCGCTGAATGGCTGCTCGTTGAGGCGGCGGCGGCTCCTCCGGGCAAGGCGTGGCGGCGGCCGGAGTGATGCTGCTCAAGCTCCTGCAGAGACAGACGTATACCTGCCTGTCCCACAGGTATGGGCTCTACGTCTGCTTCGTGGGCATCGTCGTCACCATTGTCTCTGCCTTCCAGTTTGGAGAGGTAAGGAGTGGCGCCGGAGCCCTTGTCAGTGCACCTTTCCCTGAACCGGTGCGACCCTCCGGGAGCCCCCAGTCCCTGCCCTCGTGGTGCCCGGGGTTCTGGCGCGCTGGCTTCAGCTTCTCATCTTCCCTGAAGCAGCGCCAGCAACCAGCCCCAGCCTGCCCTTTCCGGAGAGGCGCAGAGAGCCAGAACCCTCTGCCCGGCCGCCTGTTTCAACAACCGGGGTCGACGTCTCTTTCTCCCGACTGTTTTAGGGGATAGATGCTCCTTGTGCGGACTCCCCTTTCTCCCAGGTGGTTTTTTTCAGGGTCCCCAAGTCATTTGAGTTTCTTCCTTAGGCCTTATCCTCTCCTCCCCCCTCCCCCTTCAGTTTCCCTCCCGGGACCCGGAGTTTGTGTCTTTTCCTGCTTCGCCATGGCATTCTTAAATTCTTATTCTCTGCTCCTCCTTAAGTTTTTCTCCTTTGTGTCACCTTTCTAATCTTTTCGCCTTTGACAAAGGAACCTTATTTTCTTAATCTCACTTTTCCCTGGATCGCAAAACTTTAGTCTAAAGGGCGTGTGTTGTTTGCATGTGAGTTTGCCTTGGGGAGAATGTACTGGGCCAGAATTCAAAGGGTTTAGATGTGAAGGGGCGTTTTGCAGCACTTCATAGCTGTTATTTTGAACAGCTGCTCATAGGTAGTCCCGAGAGGCTCGGGTAAATGTGCACACACTGACGTGAAATAAGCCCTTGTCCCTGTCCCGGGATCAGCTGAGGCTAGAGCCCCTGCACGTGACGGAGAACAGGGTGACTGCCTTGAACTCCAGCACTTGATCTCCTGGGAGCCACCGCAAGCCCTTGGGTCTTGGGATACGCTGGTAATGTAGGTTTCAGATCACACAGGCCGTGTTTCTTGATCTGAGCTGCGTTAAGGCGCAATAAAACCTTTCTCTCAGACTGCAAACTCTTCAGGGTGTAGGCAACAAGTTCACGAGATGGAAACGCCTAGGTTTAATAGTTTTTGTTCCTCTTTGGATGCATACCTTAAACGTCCTGCCTGAAACAGTTCTCTGGCTTCGGTTTAATAGTATTTTGTTGATTTTTTTCATTATTGGCGGTCGAACAGGATAACTTTTTATCATAAACAAGTGTACAAAGAATACGACCAACTCAGAACTTGAATAGTACTTGTATATGATTTTAGGCAATACCACTTTAAAAAATAAATGTCTGCACGAGCGGGGGGAGGGGGGGACGGCGGCGAGGAAAGCTGTATTTTCAAGATGTTTAAAATCTGTCTCCTTGTTTTATTTGTTTTGGTAGAAAGTCACAAAAGGTTTTATTTATTTTTTTATTGTGAATATATATCAAAAACACAGTATTTGCCACTTCATTATTTTTCAAGTAGACAATATAGTGATATTAATTACATTAATCATATTGTTCAACCAACACTCATAATTGTTACCAAATTTCCCATCACCATAAACAGAGACTCACTTCTTTCCTAACACAAAAGGTTTTAAATTCAACAGAATGGTTTTTAGAAATGTCATCGTATATATTTGCTGAAAGTCTGTACCCATGCTGTATTGTCATTAAGGACTGCAACCTCTGGTGGTGCTGAGATTAACACATTGGGTTGATAACCAGAAGGTGGGTACTTCAAACCCAGGAACCACTCAGGGGAGAAAGATGAGGCCTAAGGCACTTGACTGCTTATCAGAAGGCTGGTGGTTCAAACCCATTAGCCACTCTTCAGAGGGAAGGTGGGGCAATCTACTTCCATAGTGATACTGCCTCGGAAACCCAAGGAGAGGTCGCTATGAGTCGAGTCTGACTTGACGGCACATAACAACAACGACATGTTCCTTAGAAACCTGGCAGTATCACCATAAAGAAAAAAAAAAAAAAAAAAAACCTGTGAGGCAGTTCTTCTTCGTCCTGTGGGGTCACTATGAGTCAGAATCGACTTGTGGCAGTGGTGGGTTTGGTTTTATTTTATTATTATCACCCAAGCACAGGGCAAGTACAGAGTAGGCAGACTTAAGTATTTGTCTAATTATAACATGATTCCAAGTGGGCACTTACAGTAACTCTTGGTTCTAGGAGCTAGGGAGAGAAAAAAAAAAAAAAAGTCTAATAGATAAGGGTGTGAAGAAGCCCTAAACTTAGAAGTGTGGACTATGTACTTAATATTATACCACCTGTCTTCTCTTTGTTTCATATATTGCAACTTAATACAGTGAATGTATCTATACACTTAAGTGCTTTATTGCTATTGGAAGATTTTCTTGATCTGATTACTTTTAAGCTAGCTTGATTTCTACTCAGTGTGAAGGTGACTTAAAGGCATCAGTCGTTAGAGTTTTTCATTTTTTACCCTTTTCCCTTTCATGCCATGCCTGCTTCATTCATGTACCAAAAAGAAAGACATTGGTTGCAGTCTTGAAATGACCCCAGATATTAAAGTGGGGGGAGCGCTGGTAGCATAGTGGCTAAGACACTTGACTGCTAACCAGAGGGCTGGCGGTTCAAACCCACCAGCCACTCCTCGGAAAGAAGATGGGGCCATCTACTTCCTAGTGATACTGCTTCGGAAACCCAAGGAGGGGTCGCTATGAGTCGGGTTCGACTCGGCGGCACACAACAACAACAACAACAACATTAAAGTTTGGCATGGAGAAGAGAAATCAGGAGTGTAGACTGTCACCAGTGTGTGAGGTGGAGGCAGCTGGCTCAGTGCCGTTCGTGTATCACCTGTGTTTAATGTGTAGGGGAAGGGTGCTGCAGATCTGGGTTGGAATGTAGACCCCAGTAATCGTTATGGTAATAGCTAATGCTTACCTAGCAACAAAGCGCTAACCACTAATTCCGACAATGAAGGCGTCACAGTGGCGCAGTGGTTAAAAGCGGTTGGCGGCTAATCAAAAGATCTGTGTGTTGAACCCACAAGCTGCTCCAAGGGCGAAGAGACCTGGCGGTCTGCTCCACTGAAGGTTATTGTTACTGTTGTGAGTTGTCGGCTCTCTTGAGCTCATGGGGACCCTGTGTGACAGAGGAGAATTGCCCACATGGGCTGTCCCAGGCTGTAATCTACACCAGGGCAGGTCGCCAGGTCTTTTCTCCTGCAGAGCTGTTGGGTGGGCTCGGACCTCTCTGTAAGCAGCACAGTGTGTTGTACCACCAGAGCTCAGTTAAGCATTAAAGCCTAACAACAGCATTTGTATAGTCACCCAGATTTTGAGAGTGAAAAGTGGAATTGAGTAAAACAAAAGAAAAAAAAAAGAGAGAAACCAAATCCACTGCCATTGAATCGATTCCTACTCATAGTGACCCTATAAAGACAGTGGAACAGCCTTATAGAGTTTCCAAGGCTGTAAATCTTTAATGAATCAGACTGCCTCATTTTTCTCCTGTGGAGCAGCTTGTGGGTTTGAATTGCTGACATTTTGGTTAGCAGATCAGTGCTTTAGCTACAGTGTCACAAACCAAAAACCCACACTCACTGCCGTGGACCCCCCCATAGCGACCCCTCCTTGGGTTTCTGAGGTAGTATCACTATAGAAGTTGATTGCCCAAATTTCCTTCCAAGGAGTGGCTGGTGGGTTTGAACCACCAGCCTTCTGGTTAGCAGTCGAATGCCTTAGGCATTATGCCACTAGAGCTCCAGGAATTGTGTAAAGGAAGTATTCAAAGTATGTATTTTTACTTTCTCCTTCTGGAAGGAAGACTGGGCAGTCTACTTCCATAAAGATTTACCACCTCAGAAACCTGATGGGGGTCACGGAGTCAGTCGGAATTGACTTCATGACAGTGAGTTTCTTCTGGTTTTTTTGTTTTGACTTCCTGAAGAATTCTTGGAAATACCCTGCCAAAAGAAAAGCAGAGTTGTATCCAAAAGTGGCCTTCCCGCAGGGCATCCTGGTAGACTGATAGCCACTGAAGTGCATTGCCTCAGGGGTGAGGGTAGCTGTAGACTAGTTGACTTGGGTAAGTCACATGGCCTCTGGAAACCTCAGTTACCTCATCTACAAATTTATAGAGCATGTTTAGTTGAAGCATTTGTATCCTAGTCTATAGTCCTTTCTCTAACACTTTTGGAACTACATTACTTTGTGATCAAATAGCAGTATTTTTCACATGATAATGTATGAATTTAGGAGCTCTGGTGGCATAGTGCCTAAGGAATTGGACTGCTAACCAGAGGCTGGCGGTTCAAACCCACCAGCCACTCCTTGGAAGGAAGGTTGGGCAATTTACTTCTGTAGTAATACTGCCTCAGAAACCCAAGGAGGAGTCGCTGTGAGTTGGATCCGACTCCACGGCAGTGAGTTTGGTTTTTGGTTTTTTGGTATGAGTTTGGCTGCTAACCAGTAGGTCAGCAGTTCAAACCCATTAGCTGCTCTGCAGAAGGAAGATGGGGCAATCTACTTCTGTAAAGACTTATAGCCTCAGAAACCCACTGGGGGTCTCTGTGAGTCTGAACTGACTTGATGGCAATGAGTTTGGTTTTTTTGGTTTCAGTGTATGAATGTTCCCACTCAGTGAGAAAGAGAGAAAAAAAACTCTTATCAGTAGGTCTGGTCTTTTTTATGATTTTGAGTTTTGTTCTACATTTTTCTACCACTCTGTCAGGATCTTCTATTGTGATCCCGATCAGAGTGGTTGGTAATAGTAGCCAGGTACCATCTAGTTCTGATCTCAGGCTAGTGGAGGCTGTGGTTCCTGTGGGCCATTAGTCCTGTGGACTGTTTCCTTGAGTCTATGATTTCCTTCACTCTGCTCTGGTGGCATAGTGGCTAAAGCACTTGACTGCTAACCAGAAGGCTGGCAGTTCAAACCCACCAGGCACTCCTCGGAAGGAAGGTTGGGCAATCCTACTTCCGTAGTGATACTGCCTCGGAAACCCAAGGAGGGGTCGCTATGAGTCGGGGCCGACTCGATGGCACATAACAACAACAACAACTGCTCTGGACAGGAGGAGATCAATAATTGTATTGTAAGCTTGCAAGCTT